GGGAAAAAAAAAAAATATATATATATATATATATATATATATATAATTGAAACACAAATTCCGTCTGATTTAGCCAAACAGGAATCGGTGGTTGCCTCATTTAAAATTTCTCAAGAGCAAAAAGCGACAAAATAAATAAATTAAATTTAAAAAAAAACAATAAACTAAGCAGAATAGCAGATGCACAATGTAGCATATACAAGTATAATCATCTCACCTCCGGTATTACTTAGCGTGTGTTTGGAGTAATTCGGATATAAACTGAATTATAATTCTAAATTCATAAACTAAATATCCTTTAAAAATGTAAAAACACTCTAAATAAATTAAACCAAAATCAATGTTTCCAACAACAATCCTCGTCCTACAAAACCATGTCCGAGAGAGTCACAATCAATAAATAAACCAAACCCCACAAGAACAATTACCAGATGCGCAACAACGTCCCTTTGTTACTTCCCAAGTCTCCGGTCATGGAATATTGCTCTGATCAAACTCAAGAAACGACAGATATTAACACCGGCCATGAAGCCACCAATAACAGTAGTACAATACCCCAGCAGAAACCCCCCAAGGGTGGCTGGAACGCCGCCATTTTCATAATCTGTAAGTAGTCAGTTAATTCCGCTTGCTTATAACTATATATGATGCTATTCTTCTCATGATTTTATATAATATCTTTGATCTCTTCTTCAAGTTGTGGAGATGGCGGAGAGATTTGCCTTCTATGGGCTGAACGGCAATCTCATCATGTACCTCACAAACGAGCTCCGCGAGCCAACCCCGACGGCGGCGAAGAACGTCAACACCTGGGTCGGCGTCACTTCGCTCCTTCCTCTCTTTGGTGCTTTTGTTGCCGATTCCTTCCTCGGTCGTTTCAAGACCATTCTTTTCGCCTCCATTATCTACTGCACGGTGCAACTAAACTCTGATCAGCAATTTCACTTATAATTAGTTAATTCTAATCTAATCGGTAAATGGTCTAATATATAATAAATATAACGAATTGTGTGTATATATTGCAGGGGATGAGTATGCTATCTTTATCAGTGTCGGTGATTCCTCGGCAGTACAGGAAAGCGGTTTTCTTTGTTTCGCTTTACACAATTTCGATTGGTGAAGGAGGGCACAAGCCATGTGTGCTTACCTTCGCCGCAGACCAATTCGGAGAAGATTCGCTTGAGGAGAAGAAGACCAAGAGCTCCTTCTACAATTGGTGGTCTTTGGGGATCGTCACTGGTGCCACTTTCGCCATATTTGCCGTCATTTATGTGCAGGTAATTCTTACTTTTTACTATATATATACATATATATATATATATATTGTTTCACCAAGACTATTAGATTAACTCTTTAACTCTGTTTATTATGCTCGAAACAACTATTATATATGTTTTCACAAGCAACTTTTCTTCTTCCCAAATTCTTTCCAAGTAAAGAATGGAATAATTTTCAAGTAACTTAAGCGCGAGAAAACTCTGTTCTTAGAACCATATGATATGTGTTTATACTTAGACTTGCTCTGTTTTCCGAAATGTACATAAGCAAAACAAAAAATAAAAAAATAAAAAGATGGTTTTCAACTTTTAACTCCTAAGTAGTTTAACATTTCGTTCATTTAATTAGTTATTTTGTTAATCTACAGGAGAGTTATCCAATTAACTCCGAATGGTTCAAAACCATTTTTTTTTTTTTTTTTGGTTTTATTATTATTGCATTGCAGGATAATGTTGGGTGGGGGACAGGGTTTGGGATGTTGGCAGGGGCGATGGCGGTGGCGCTTGGGGTGTTTGTGTTGGGAATCAGAAGGTATCGGACGCAATTCCCCCTCGGCAGCCCGTTCACTGCGGTGGCGCAGGTGTTTGTGGCTGCGGCTCGTAAGTGGAAATTGAACGAAGCCCGAGATGGTAATAATTGGGGTCTTTACTACGGGAATGCCCAATTCGAAGGGCAACCTAACAAACTTAGGACTTTGGCTCGTACACATCAGTTCAGGTATTTGCCTCCGTCCTTCAAAACATTTTTAAGTCACCGTTAAAAAATGCTTAGAACACCGCTAATATAAAACACTATCACTAATAAAAAATAAAATTTTATTTATGAATCTCATGCTGTGAAATTTATGGTGCGTCGTATTCGTATTATAATTTAAATCATAATTTATAATTTATTATAATATTTTCTCTCTTAAAAAATATATATAAATCGATAATAATTTTAAATTATAATTCTAAATCAATGAACTAAACTTTCACTATATTTTATTAGTGAACATCACCGATGATGCCTAATAACTTTACTTGTTACTGATATATTTTTCTTTTTCTTTTTTTTCTTTTTTTTCTTTTTTTCTTTTTAACTTTTGGGTAGCTAAAGGCAAAGCTCACTGAAAGCTTTATTATATACTACACTACATATGGACCGACTGAATTTTTCCTAAACGCAAAAGATGATAAGCGTTGGTGTGTGTGCCAATCAGAGATTTTATACTTTTCTGATTTCCTCTTCTTCTTATTTTCTTAAAATGATAATTTATCTCATAAAAATCTCCCATGATTTTTTATCTCCAAACTCGTAAGAGGATTAAAATGTATGAAAGTGTATAGTTTTTTTTTATGCAACAAACAATTTATTGATATTGAATCTTTTGTTATTAGTATTATTATTTTCTTGTTAGGAGTACTCGTTATGTAGGAAACTATTTTGTTTTGAATGCTCAAAAATATTTGTCATCCATTCCTGTCTTCATCAACAGAAATTAACCAAGTGCAGTAATAGTTAGATTGTTAGTCGGAAGCGAAAGCAAAACCTAACGACCTTGTTTAGAATTGATCTCATTTTTATTTTTTACATTTTTTAAGAAAAAAATAAAAACGTTTTTAAAATAGTATTTAACGCAATAAAAATAAAAAATAGAAATAAAAATGATTTTTTAATTTAATATAAAATAAGAGAGAAATAAAATATAACTTTTAGTCGTTTTTTATTTTTTATTTTCGTTTTCTCCTCTCTCGAGCAGAGAGAGAAAAAAAGATATTAATGAGTTTTTTTACACTAAAAATAATCTCTTGATAAAATTACTAAATGTATTTTTAAAAATAATTTATGTCTGAGATTTAAAACATTTTTATTTTAAAAAAAATAATAATAAAAAGAAAACTTTGGCCGCATTTTTCAGCAGAAGAAAAAAGAACATTATTGTTTTCAACAAAAGAAAAAAAAAGTAAAAAAAAAAAAGAAAAAGAATATTATTTTCTTTTTATTATTATTTTTTTCCTGTGGTGATTATGCTGCTATGCGCGTGCCACATGCCATAAGTATAAGGTGCCACAATCGCGAAGTTAAACTTGTCGTCTAGCTACTTGAAGGCACTAATAATGCCACGTTGCACTCTGCTCACATTATGCAAAACTCGATGTATTGAATAGCGTATTGAAATTTTATCAGTAAAATAAAAATATTTTATGTGTCACTTGTTTATGGATGCGGACTCGCTCACGCTAGTGCAAGCAACCTAAACCCTAGGCTCCCAATTTTTCAATTTTTATTTGGAGTTGTCTGTAGTCCCTTAATTTGAAAATGAGGGACAAATCTCTGTTAGTTAACGGGTTCATGTGTCAATCGTAATCAGTTAAAATATTAACGTAATTCTCTTATATTGAGTCATAATAGTTACTATTTTAAAAATTAGAAGTCGTTTTATAAACATATAGCAATAAACGACTGTTATGTACACTTATTAATAATAATTATATAAAAAATATTAAAAGGTATATCAATAAATGACTGTCATTTTCACTGTTAATGTTAGTCATTCTATCGTAACCGACTGTCATTTTAAACTTGAATAATATTATCGTGAAGAATTACATCTGTCATATTCTTTTTTTTATAGGCACATCTGGTCATGCATGAACATTTGTTTGGAGTAGTATATGATAGTGTTTTATTTGCCATATGCTTAAAAATAACTTATAATTTTTAAAATAGTAACTGTTACGACTTAATACAAAAGAATTACACTAATCATTTAATCGGTAACGCTAATCTTCTTTAACCCTTTTACGATGAGGGAAATTTTCCTCATAAAAAAGGTGAAGAACCACATATTAAGCCTTTTTTTTTTTTAGTTTTTAGTTTTTTTTTGGCTAATCACATAGGGCCCCAAATTAGTATATATTCTTCTAACCCGATTAAAGAAAAATATGAGAATCAAAATAAACGAAATCACAATTAATTAAGTCTTGTCTACAGGATCTTAGGGTCCGTTTGGGTCACGTGTTCAAGTCAGTAATTCAGATTTATTGACGGGAATTTTGTAAGAGAAAATTTTTGAATCCAGATTCTTTGTGAGATGAAAAAAGTTGTAACAGAATCAGAATAATGGATTTAAGTATAGGAATTAAACCAACCTTAAATTGAACGGGTGTTTCTTTTGTAAATATATATATATATATATATATATAGCTTCAATAATGTATATGTTATATTTTGATAGTGACTTAAGTAAATTGATCAGTTTTGACTGAAAAAAAAAAAAAAAATGGTTGGAAGTCAAATTTTCAAGTTACATAAATCCGAAAGTTAATTTCAATCCTTCGTCTCTCAGCTTAATTTTTTCTTTCAAGAAAAGAAAAGATAAAAGAACGTAATACGGACTATTGCATTATATATGATCATATTAATATGAATATATATAGTTTGTTTTATCATATCATATATTCCATCATATTTTTTACATAAGTTCATTGATCAAACGCTCCATAAAAACAAGTGCAGATTTTTGGACAAGGCAACGATCATAAACGACGTGGAAGCCTCAACGAAGGTGAAGAACCCATGGAGGCTGTGCTCAGTGAACCAAGTGGAAGAAGTGAAGCTGGTTCTCCGTCTGATTCCCATATGGCTAACCTGTTTGATGTTCCCCGTCGTCCAAACCCTCCTAAACACCTACTTCACCAAGCAAGGCAGCACTCTCATCCGGACCGTCGGATCAAGCTTCGAAATTCCCCCGGCCTCCTTCCAAGGCTTCGTCACCTTCACCGTCCTCATCACCATCCCCATCTACGACCGCGTTTTCATCCCGATCGCCCGCCGATTCACCGGCCACCCCTCCGGCATCACCGTGTTGCAGCGCGTTGGCACCGGCATATTCCTCTCTATTATCAACATGATCGTCTCAGGTTGAGAAATTTTCTAGACGTCCCTTTTTCTATAGCAAGTGCCATGCATAGTAATTAACGTGTGCATGCAGTGTAAAATTTTTGAAAATTCATTTTACAAAACTACTGGAAACTTTTACGATAAAAACTGTTGAATTAGTTTTGTAACGGTCTAATACGCAAGTGTGCACGTTAAAAATTTACAGGACGTATAATTGCATGTGAGACAGTTTGAAAAATCGATTCAAAAATTAAAACAACAGTTCTTACCGGCCGACAATAAAAAAAGGACATTTCCGATCGTAAAAATTCCACAAGTATTTATCTTTAAGCTCATTTTTGCAAAACTTGTGTGCCAGGTTTAGTGGAGGCCAAGAGACTAAGCGTTGTGAAGGAGTACAACCTTATGGACAACCCTAAAGCCACAGTGCCTATGAGGATTTGGTGGCTACTTCCGCAGTACATTCTGTGCGGTTTGTCCGATGCCTTCACTTTCATTGGTCTTCAGGAGCTGTTCTATGACCAAATGCCGGACGCCATGAGAAGCGTCGGAGCCGCGGCGAACATGAGCATAACCGGCGTCGGGAACTTCGTTAGCAACGCTATTATATCGGCCGTTCAGGGAATTAGCTCGAGGCACGGCGGCGCGGAGTGGCTGGGCGACAACATCAACCGTGCCCACTTGCATTACTTTTACTGGCTGTTGGCGGGGTTGAGCGCTTTAAATTTGTGTGCCTATGTTTGGGCGGCGAATTGTTTTGTGTATAAGAAAGTTGAGGTGGAAGAGGCGTCTGGGGAACACCTAAGTCTTACTGCTTGACAGATAATATAATGTGGCAATAATATGATATGATTATATTACAAAAAAAAAACAGGTATTGTTGACGTGTTTGGAATTGATTTCGTTTTTATTTTTTACATTTTTCGAGAAAAAAAAAAAACAGGTATTGTTAGCGTGTTTGGAATTGATTTCGTTTTTATTTTTTACATTTTTCGAGGAAAAAAAATAAAAACGTTTTCAAAACAGCGTTTGACACAATAAAAATAAAAAACAGAAATGAAAATGATTTTTTGGTTTAGTGTAAAATGAGAGAGAAATGAAAAACAAATTTTTGTCGTTTTTCATTTTCGTTTTCTCCTCTCTCGAGCAGAGAGACAGAGATATATATATTAATAGGATTTTTTATACTGAAAACAATCTCTAGATAAAATTACCAAACGCATTTTAAAAATAATTTCTGTCTGAGATTGTAAATTTTTTCATTTTTATTTTCATAAAAAAAATAAATTCATTTTAGAACGAGTTTTTAAACGTCGTTATTTTACCATCTTTGTTGTGTCTAGCTATTTGTAGACCAAGGGCTGCTAAATGCTGTTGACTTAGCAATATGGGGCAGATAAATAATTCATCAAAAAGGATGCTTGGTCCATCTTCAAGTTGGTTTGGATGTGGGGCCGTTGTTATTGATTTAGTAATGTGGTGTCTCTTATCACTATTATTTAGAGGGAGGCAAGTTATACCTTCTTGTTTTGTACCTTTGTGTGTTTTCGTATAATATTACTAGTTGAAAGTTAGTGCGCGTGTGTTAAGTTTGTTGGTTTTTTTTTTTTTAGTTATTGGATGTCAATTCTTTTTAAATATTTGTTTCAATTATTGAATTCTCGCTCTCTCTTATAGTACGTATATTCTAAGTAAAAAGAACCCAAAAAAAAAAAAAAAAGTTTGTTGGGGATATTGAACTAGCCAGTAATTTATTTATGGGCACATTATATGAAAATAGTATTAGATCAAAATATTGCAAGAAAACAATGTTTGAGTAGCTAGGGGTATATTTGAGAAAGTTTATTTTATCAAGGAAATTAATGGAAAAAATATAAAAAATGTATTTAAAATAATATTTATTGTCAGAAAATGATTAATATAAAAAAGAAATTTAAATAGGAGCACGTTTGAAAGAATTTTTTTTTAGTAGTGGCAAATTCGAAGGAAAGGTTAGTAAGGCAGCTTATAAATATATGATTTGAAAATTAAGCAAAGCTGCAAATGAACTTATATATTCACATTTTAACCAAAACGTGCATTTTTGTTCAATATTATGTATATATAGACACATGATCATTAGTGGGTAAATATAGAAAATTAATTAGAAAATACATACATGATAAAATAATAGTTCAGAGGGTCACGGGAAAAAAATGTTTACGAAACAGACACAATAAAATTGAAGTTTATTAACGGACAACTAAGGAAAAAAAATATATATATATTGAAACAAATTTTCTTGCACCAAACTTCAAACATTGATAAACTCATAAACATAATGTCCTATCATCAAGATTCATCCTAATTTAACATCATCGTCATAACAATAATGCAAACATCATATGTTCTTTGATGTTTTCCTTTCACATCGTTCCCCTTGGTATTGAAAAGCATCTATAGTTGCATCATAAACCTATAAGAAATTAATTAATACAATTAAAGAACAAATTTTTGTAACAAATCGTCAAAAAATTTTATTAGAAATTAACTAAAAAAAACACCAAAATTATTTTGAAGTTTGAAATTCCTATGTTTAGCTTTCATCAATTATGAATAGATCTTGGACGTTACAGTCAAGATCGACAAATAAATCTACGAAGAAATTGCATCATATAATATATATATGTATAATTTGGGCGTCCATGCATGAACAAAAGCTTCAAAACCTGGAGTTTAATTAGTCGAAAAAAATTGGTACTCTCGAATCAATATTATTATAGATATTGTTTGGAGAATAAGGCGTTCTACTGAAAAATGAGCTACATTAATTATTATTGACATTTCGAATGTGAACAACAACAACTTTTTTTCGCTCATATGATCACTGCAAAATTTATAAATAGGTTATTAAGTTGTTAATTGCCGTTGGGAAAATTGGGATTAAGCGGTAAAATTTGACGAGGAAAAAGAGAAAATAATCCAAAAACCAAAAGTAATTAATTCAAAAGAATCGATCTAAGGTGATGCAAACAACAAAAATTTTCCAGATAAAGTCTCATCACACTTCTAAAACTAATACATATACTGATGCTATTATTGTTAGGGTGCTTATGCGGTAAGATCAAGAAAAAATAAACTACCTATAGTTCTTTATTTTTGGCCATCAGATATGTACTTAAAACTATCTGTTATACATGTTTTTTCAATCTGATGTGATTATGACTTAGATGTAACTAATAGAGGTCGCCTAACAACGGGCGAAGTCTAATATCAGTATAGATGTCGCGCATTCATTTAAGCGATGTTCTTACCATTTGTTACAAAAATTTGAATTCTGCATGCTCTCTTCTTTTATGTATCATTTTGTACTTCAATCTCGGAATTAACTTTTTTGTCATGTTCTTCTCTATGCTCCCCTTTGAATTTCTTCATCACCTCAGATGTCAAAATTAGCATGCACAATTACTGCAAGGAGGAGTATATTTGGCACAATTATAACCACGGCAATGCGTCTCTTCTCTCTAAAGTCCATATTTCTACTTTTCTTTTTTTTTTTTGCTTTTTTCCTGGTTCAATATTTTTGTTAATGGACCTGAATTTATATACTTTAAATACAAGTCAGGCTTAATAATAAGGGACATTCTCCGGTACGCTAACATGCTGGTAGGTCCTGGTTTTATGTCCGTTGAATCTACATAAAATCATGTAAAAATAAAAAAGTAAGCAGATTTTATAGTTAAAAAAATCTGACACCGGCACGCCAGGCAAACAAAAGAATCTCCATAATAATAAAAGTAAAAATATAGTTTACATTATCATAATGAATATTTAAATTTAACCTTTGTGTATTAGCAAAGGGTCAATGTGGCCACGAAGACATGCAATTGTGGATTTTTTTTTCTTTTTTTTTTTTTGCCCCCTAGGCTTACAATTAATTGGCCCCCGGGGAACAAATTAGTTTATATCTTATGCGAAAGGATCGACATTTGTAATTATTTGGGTGAAATGTTTTAGAAATATTTTACTATGGCGTTAATTATATGTTGTATATTTAATATCATGTAATTACCATGCTACAGTTGAGATTTATAAGGAAAAATATACAGAAAGTAGTGCGTATTTATAATTTAATCAATTAGTTGGGGATAAAAACTTCTTAATGTATAAATTTATAAAATGCAAATTATTATGTGTCGAGCTGTTGCCATGAATATTCAGTAATTCAGAATTTTTGTGACTTTTCACTAAATTTGTGGATATGCTGCTAACAAAGTTTGTGACTTTTAATTTCACTGCATGGGTACTTATTCTTTGTACTAATATAAAAAAATAACGAGAAGTTTTTATATATCTTTACGTTAATTAATTTGAAGGATTAAGAACTTTTTATCAAATTAAACAATTAAGTGCACATTATAGAGAGTCAATACCCATCAGTAACTAGAAAAGCTAGTGTACATTCATCTAGCTAGTGGCTCTCACGCATAACCAAAAAAGACTGTTGTATCAGAAATTAAGATTTTCATACATTTAGGGTCCGTTTAGTTCGCTGATTCGAGTTTTTAATTCGAGTTGAAATGTGATTTTGTGTGAGAATTTTTTACTATAACAAAATTTGAATTCTAAACTCGAATTAGTGAAATAAACAGGACCTTAATTAATCATTTTAAGTCACTTTCTTTCAAGTCTGTAGGGGCATCACAACAATCTATAACATGCGTTAAAAGTCACACGACTTGGTAAATTCTAAATATATTGTAAAAACTAACACCTAGCTAGCATGAGAGGTAGGTTATGGGTTGTTTTTCCAAGACTACTACGTTGCCATTATTTAGATTAGTCTAATTATGATACCTTGTAATTGAAAATCTTTCAAATTTATTTGTTGATCTCTACACAATGAACAAAAAAAGCATACATTTGTTTTATCCATAGGTTTCTTTTCTTTAAAAAAAATACTTATGATATTTCCAATCCAATCTATATTAATTATATTGCAACCAATCCAATTAAAGATCCGTTTTTAAAATATTTCGTCCAATCTAACCTGGTTGATATTGCAGTCAGTTTAGATTTAGTTGGACCAATCGGTTTTGAGCTTAATTTATTTTGTTAAGCCGCGAATTTTTTTCTCACAGTATTTTTCTTAATTAAATATTTTCTGATTTGTTCATCAATTAAATAGAAATTAATAACTTTAAAAATATTTTCTGAAAACATTTTAATTTGTTTTGAATGTTTAATTTTTAAATGTTTTAAGTAATGTTTAATTTTTAAATGTTAAGTACTTTTAGGATTTTTTTAAAAAATTACTAGTTTATTGTTAATTAGTGAGAAGAATATAATGAACATTTTATATCCTAAAAATTAGTCTCATGGTACGAAAAGAATATTTTTTTTTAAAATGAATGTATCATTTTAATATTATTAAAAACAAAAGGTACTAGTGAGATATTTCATAACAATAGAGGGTACTAAAATAATTTTATCCTCACCTAAAAAAAATTTAAGGTTAATCTAACAAATGGTCCTTAAGGTTTACTTTCAATCTCACTTTGATCCATGACTTTTAAAACGTCTCACAATTGGTCTATGAGGTTTTACTATGTTTCAACTCCGTTCCTTCTGTTAGTTTAGTGTTAAATATTTGATGAAATTTGTAGAAATTAGATACCAAAATTAGAAACATATAAAGTTTAAAGACTAAAATAAGATAAAAAAATAAAAGCTAATTTCCACAAATAATCTCAAATTTTTTGTTATTTCTAATTTTAGTCTTTAATTTACACAGAGTTCAGTCAATTTTAATACATAATTAATGAAAAGACCAAAATTAA